CATAAGTATTACGGCAAATCAGTGGTTCTTTCAGAACAACAAAAAACGTGCTCCAAGTGGAGCCCAAACAGAAGTACTGTACAAATTTCAAAAGGTAGTTTCTCTTGCAAAAGGATATTCAAGTGCTGTCTCACTAGAAACTTTGCAGTAAATGTATTAATTTCATAATCATATATTAAGTTTGCAATGCTGCCTCATAATTAGAGGCATGGTCCAAGGCTTCCCAGCTTCTAGTCATTCAGATATCAAGTTTCTCCCTTTCTGCCTTTTCCTTTATTCCACGCTTATTGAATCATGTTCTGTACCAAGGTCTTTACTAGGTATTATGAAAGACAGATGTTGGATCAAAATATTAACAATACATGGGCCGTGCCCTCAAGTCTTGAGGGGGAACCAGATAGGCATACCAAAAATTATAATAAAATTATAATATATTTTAGTTAATTGCTATAATTGAAGTATACGTAAATACTGAGAGTCTATAGCAGCTCTGTCTAATGAAGTGGGGAGTACAATCTGGGGAAGGTTTTTAGAGGATTTTACATCTGAATGGAATAGGAGTTTGCTAGGCAGAGGAAATACTAGGTACAGAATTATGGAGGCATAAAAGAACCTATATGAAGGATGGTAAGGTTTGGTTTGACTGAGGAATAAGGTACATGATGGGTGTAGTGGCCAAAGAGATCACCCATATTTCACATCTGTCCCTTTCTTTCCCTTCCTATTGCCACCATTCTAATGCATGATCTCATTATTTCTTAACTTGGTCTGTTGTAAGTAGCCTTTTTCCTGCCTTTATCTCTATTTTCTCTTCATCCTACCCCCAAATCTGTTGTACTTATACACTTTTCTAGGCTATTCTTCACGAAGTATCGGTTTAAACTCTTGAATGCTGTTGAATAGTTTAAATATCTTAGCCTAACAGTAAATGCCTCCATGACATGGCTATCAGGCCCCTTTCCGGTTTCACTTCCCTCTCTTCCTCTTTTGAATCGTGTACTCTGGCCCTACTGACCAGCTCATATTCCTCGTTTATGGCCATAGGTTTATTCGATTTCAGGCCCTCACTCACTATTTTGTCTTCCTAGGATGTCTTTCCTCACCACCTTTGCATGCCCCAATCCTGCCAATTTTTAAAAGGCCAGCCCAAATATACTTTTCACTTGCCCTTCTCCAGGTCCCTCTCCCATCCCGAAACAGACCTACCCAGTAGAAGTATGCCTGCCTGCTGACCTCAAAGAGCACCTACCTTGTTCATCTTGTGTTAGAGCTGTTTTTGTATCTCTTTTATCTTCATTATATCTCTTGCACTGAAGAACTTTGAGGTCAAAGGCAGTCTCCTACTCATCTTTGTGACTTGTCATGATCTCATTGCACATAGTCTGTGTTCAGCAAATATGTCCTAAAGAAGGAATTTTATTCACTTAAAAGAAAAATGTAAACATTTGCAACTTTAAATAATGACTGTTTCAATGAATCCAGACCCAAGATTAGAGAACTGATTAGGTAAGTGGAGTAGAGATTTTTCATGTGGGCTGTTAATTTTCAGGCCTTACCATCTGCTGTTTTTCAGCAAATGTACGGACATGATTTTGCCTAGATAAAGATTTTTGGCATTAAAATGTCAGTTTTAGTATGCTGCAGTGCATTAAAAATATATAACATGACTACATATTTCGGTTTAAGGCAGTAATTTAGAGAGTTACTTGAGAAGCTGTCTTATTTATCTTTATTCTTTTGAAGAGAAAGCATGGGTGAGAGCTATTTATTTTGAAATTATGAAAAAGTAGTTACGTTTTTTGAATTAATATACTTATTTTGTGGTCATTTATGTGTTTACCAGACTTAGAGTTTAAATATTTTCTTTAGTAAGGGTGTTTCCTAACTGAATCTAAAGAAAACAGCTTAGGTTTTTCTTTATGTCCTTTAATGAGAAAAGAACATGTTTGATTAATACCTCAGTGTTGTGTTCTCAAAGTAAATTTACAGTCTGTATACTTGTCACATTATGTAATTTCTGATGAAGGCATACACATGATTCTGGACAGCTGTGGGGTAACTCACACTTTTTTTTTTTTTTTTTTTTTGCGGTACACGGGCTTCTCACTGTTGTGGCCTCTCCCGTTGTGGAGCACAGGCTCTGGATGCGCAGGCTCAGTGGCCATGGCTCATGGGCCCAGCTGTTCCACGGCATGTGGGATCTTCCCAGACCGGGGCACGAACCCGCATCCCCTGCATCGGCAGGCGGACTCTCAACCACTGCGCCACCAGGGAAGCCCAACTCACACATTTTGATGAGAAGGAGGTAGAGGGAAGTAATCAACTTCAGTTTCAAACATTAAGTCCAAACACAAGCCCTAGCATTGTGGAAACTGCCCAGTGTTTTAGGAAGAAATAGTCTGATCTTATCCTATAGGTCCAAGCTGCCACCTTTCTCTTTATTTTGTTTCCACATAGAAAGAATCCCAATTCTGGTATCACCCATGAGATTTCCAAATTACCTTGATGAGGAACAGCAAATACTCTGCCACAACTTCCAATTCCCTAATATATGGCAGACGGAACTAATCTGTAACAATATCTTTCCTACTGGTTGGACTCTTACTCTAGGTGGTATCTTCTAATTGAGCACATTTGGCAGGTGAGATAAAATCTACTTGCCAGCTTATTCCATCTAGAGTTCTCAGTATTATATCATGTTGCCTCCCAGTACAAGAAAATACACAGAAGGTGTTTGTGGAATGCTCTTGGTAATTTGATTAGGCTGAAATAAGAAGGGCTGTGTCTTGCTATATTACCTTATAGTTGCTTAACCTTCTGAATTAGCCTGCTTTCTGGTTTCAAGAGTTAGCTGCTTTCCTTCACCCCTTTATGGAGATAGTGTATATAACATTTTCTCTTAGGAGAATTTAGGTTTCTTTTTTCCTCTTAAAAGCTTAAAATACATTATTACTGATTGGTTTATTTTCAAGAAAACGTCCCAAAAGCCCAAGATGCGTTAGACTTTATTGACATATCTGTTCTGTTTAGAAACAAGGAAGCCAATAGCCCTGATCAGTTTTTTACTTGTCAGACCACACTGAGTGTAGAATACAATATTTCATGAGGTAAAGACGGTACGGAGACTCCTGTCTATTTTATATGACCAACAGATGAAGGAACTAGACATGTTTATCCTAGAAAAGAGAAGTCTCGAGAGAAATCAGCTACTGTCTTCATGAATTAGTTGGCCTATTATATGGAAGAGAATTGTTTGTCATGGCATAAATAAAACCAATGGCTAGGAAGTTGTTAATTCAGTGAAGTGTTCCTTGAAAAAGGGCTCCACAGTCAAATAAATATGACACATGCCTGTGTCATGTTCGTTTTCTGGAGATTTAAAATATATATTAAATGCATATTAAGGGTCCTGAAAAGTCATGCAGTAAAAGATCTGTTTTAAATTTGTTAATCCCAGCATTCCATACACACCTTCCTCAGAACTAGTTTTCTAAGGAGCTCCCATTTGAGTAGTGGTTTCAAACTGTGGGAGTGGGACCAGCAGCACCAGTGTTACCTGGGATCTTACTACAAATGCAGCTTCTTGGCCCTACCCGAGACCTATGGAATCAGAGACTCTGGGAGGTCGGCCCAGCAATATGTATGATAATAAGTCCACCATGGGATTCTGATGCTGCTAAACTGTGAAAAGCACTGATAGAAAATTCTACTATTACTCTCCAACTCAATAGCATCCTTTTATTTTTTTATTTTTTAAGATTTCTTCTAATGATATTTTATGACTGTGTGATTAATTTTTATCGATGGTTACCCTTCTGAAGTACAGAAGGAAGGAAACACTTACGGAAGGCCTACTGTAGTTTTCAGTGTAGCCATCTAATTGGTATCAATTTGGATACTTTAAAGAATCCTAAGTAATGAATCCATATCTTCTGTGAAGTGAAATACACATTTCTAAACTGAGGTAAACCTTAAATTCATTGCTATTGTGGCCATTTTTAAAAGAGCATTTACCGTTTTTCATTTTACTTCAAAATGTATTTTGCAAAATGTAGACTTTTTTTTTTAAATACATCTTGAAGGATCTGTAACGTGCCTTCTCTCATGTCAGAGGTCTTTAAGATTAGGGAATTTTGTAATTTCTTTGCATTAGCAAAGATTAAATTCTGGTAGCATTCTATTTATCTCTGCAAACAAGCAGGACAGTTTTAGAAAAATGTAATTGAAGTATAGTTTAAAATGAATCTGTACGTAAAAAAAAATAATTCCCCATGAGTATGCATATAACCATTGCCTTATTTTACTGGGTATCATAAATGTGGATTTTGAATGTTTATATGAAATGCCCCTATAAGTCATGCAGAACAATTTTCTTTTTCTGAAGGACATTGAAATGGGGTTAAATATATTAAAGTGTCAAAATATATTTAAGTGCATTTAGAACAAAATTATTACTAATATCCCTTGGAATGAATTATGGCCAAATTTGTCTTAATTTCTTGATATTATTTTGTCAACTCTTCCTTTCATACAAGTAAGTGTTCTCTGGGTTTCTATTAGGTCAATTGGAATTTTATTTTTTTTTAGTTAGGGGGACAAAGACTGATAGTCCACAGACTGGATTTTGATCTCATTGCTGCTGTCCAATAGCAGAACGCCTGGGGGCATCCTCTTACAGTAATGAGCACAAGTACTGGTATCATTATTGCTATATTTAAACACCCATGGTTGGCAGAAATGTGCTAAAGTCTGGATGTAACATCGTTAATCATGTCGTTGTCCCTGCCCAGGGCAACTGCTACTGAAAGGACACATTCACATGATGAGGAAGACAGCAGATTGGTGGTTGAGAGCTGAATGTCACTTTGCTGACCTAGAGAAAGAGGTTTAGGGTGTTGGCTATGTTTTCTAAAGAGTATCTAGCAGATTTCATCTTGTATATTAACTTTCCACATTTTTTTAAATTACAATTTTATGCTTATTATTATATCTCTTTTTAGTTTTCCTCACAGGAGAAAAAGCCAATTCAGTATTAAAACGCTACCCAAGAGCTAATGGACTTTTTGAAGAGATAAGGCAGGGCAATATTGAACGTGAATGCAAAGAAGAAGTCTGCACATTTGAAGAAGCAAGAGAAGCTTTTGAAAATAATGAAAAAACTGTAAGTATACTGGCAATCTTTTTTAAATGCTCACAGATTTGCCTACCTTTGTGATGTATATTTGAAACCTGCATTCCCAAATTGTGTGCATTGCTATCATTTAAAAACTACCCTCCCAAAGAACTAACTCTGAACGGGGCCTCTAACTAAGCCACCCGACTCTGCAGGTCGGAGGTCTAGTTTCACTTCCTGTGTGCTGGTCTGTCTTTGAGGGCTCCATTGCCATAGGACCCTGCTGAGTTGAGATTGATCATCTGAGCAAGGGGGAAGCATGATTTACACAAGGCTTTGTTCGGGAAAGTTATAGATACCATTATGACCATACCGTGCTTGATCTGGGAGAAAGTGCAGAGGAAGCTAACAGATAGTTGATGCTGTTTTAAAATGTCTTACTCCTTAGGTAGGTTTATTCCTAGGTATTTTATTCTTTCTGTTGCAATGGTAAATGGGAGTGTTTCCTTAATTTCTCTTTCAGATTGTTCATCATTAGTGTATAGGAATGCAAGAGATTTCTGTGCATTAATTTTGTATCCTGCTACTTTACCACACTCATTGATTAGCTCTAGTAGTTTTCTGGTAGCATCTTTAGGATTCTCTATGTAGAGTCTCATGTCATCTGCAAACAGTGACAGCTTTACTTCTTCTTTTCCGATTTGGATTCCTTTTATTTCTTTTTCTTCTCTGATTGCTGTGGCTAAAACTTACAAAACTATGTTAAATAAAAGACCTGTGTGCAGAAAACTATAAGACACTAATGAAAGAAATTAAAAATGATACAAACAGATGGAGAGACATACCATGTTCTTGGATTGGAAAAATCAACATTGTGAAATTGACTATACTACCCAAAGCAATCTACAGATTCAGTGCAATCCCTATCAAACTACCAATGGCATTTTTCACAGAACTAGAACAAAAAAAACTCACAGTTTGTATGGAAACACAAAAGTCCCCGAACAGCCAAAGCAATCTTGAGAAAGAAAAATGGAGATGGAGGAATCAGGCTCCTGGACTTCACACTATACTATGAAGCTACAGTAATCAAGACAGTATGGTACTGGCACAAAAACAGAAATATAGATCAATGGAACAGGATAGAAAGCCCAGAGATAAACCCACACACCTCTGGTCAACTAATCTATGATGAAGGACGCAAGGATATACAATGGAGAAAAGACAGTCTCTTCAATCAGTGGTGCTGGGAAAACTGGACAGCTACAGGTAGAAGAATGAAACTAGAACACTCCCTAACATGATACACGAAAATAAACTCAAAATGGATTTGAGACCTAAATGTAAGGCCAGACACTCTAAAACTCTTAGAGGAAAACATAGGCAGAACACTCTATGACATAAATCACAGCAAGATCCTTTTTGACCCATCTCCTAGAGAAATGGAAATAAAAACAAAAATAAACAAATGGGACCTAATGAAACTTAAAAGCTTTTGCACAGCAAAGGAAACCATAAACGACGAAAAGACAGCCCTCAGAATGGGAGCAAATATTTGCAAACAAAGCAACTGACAAAGGATTAATGTCCAAAATTTACAAGCAGCTCATGCAGCTCAATATCAAAAAAACAAACAGCCCAATCCAAAAACGGGCAGAAGACCTAAATAGACATTTCTCCAAAGAAGATATACAGATTGCCAACAAACACATGAAAGGATTCGCAGCATCACTAATCATTAGAGAAATGCAAATCAAAACTACAATGAGGTATCACCTCACACCAGTCAGAATGGCTATCATCAAAAAATCTAGAAACAGTAAACGCTGGAGAGGGTGTGGAGAAAAGGGAACCCTCTTGCCCTGTTGGTGGGAATGTAAATTGATACAGCCACTATGGAGAACAGTATGACGGTTCCTTAAAAAACTAAAAATAGAATTACCATATGATCCAGCAATCCCACTACTGGGCATATACCCTGAGAAAACCATAACTCAAAAAGAGTCATGTACCACAATGTTCATTGCAGCTCTATTTACAATAGCCAGGACATGGAAGCAACCTAAGTGTCCATCAACAGATGAATGGATAAAGAAGATGTGGCACATATACACAATGGAATATTACTCAGCCGTAAAAAGAAACAAAATTGAGTTACTTGTAGTGAGGTGGATGGACCTAGAGTCTGTCATACAGCGTGAAGTAAGTCAGAAAGAGAAAAACAAATACCATATGCTAACACATATATATGGAATCTAAAGAAAAAAATGGTTCTGAGGAACCTAGGAGCAGGACAGGAATAAAGACACAGATGTAGAGAATGGATTTGAGGACTCAGGGAGGGGGAAGGGTAAGCTGGGACGAAGTGAGAGAGTGGCACTGACATATATACACTACCAAATGTAATAATAGATAGCTAGTGGGAAGCAGCCACATAGCACAGGGGGATCAGCTCATTGCTTTGTGACCACCTAGAGGGGTGGGAGGGAGGCACAAGAGGGAGGAGATATGGGGATAGGTATGTGTATACCTATAGCTGATTGACTTAGTTATAAAGCAGAAACTAACACACCATTGTAAAGCAATTATACTCCAATAAAGATGTTATTAAAAATAATAAAACGTTTTACTTCTACAAAAGAAGAGACATATCAGAACTCCCCTCCCCACTCTGACAAGATACCTCTTCACCTCTCCTTACTCTAGACCAATTGCTATGCAAGGAGAACAGGGATGAGAAAGCACAAGGCAGTGGTATACATTCTCTGGAACTGCTTTATGGTAGGAAATGACATTACCAGTGGTTGCCATTATATAAAGATCCATTCCTGTATGCTAACCATGAAAATAACACGACATGCAAAACAAGTGATGTCAGATGTGATAAAGGGACATCAAATAATCTCAGGGGCAGTGGATGCAGAAGTTTTAAAGAAAGAGGATTTGTTCTCTTGTTAGGTAGAGAAGGATCCAGGGTATAAGAGGAAGGAGTTCAAGGAGAGGTTATCAGAGAGGCAGCATTGCTAGATTCCAGTGTGCACAGCAAAGGTAAAATCAGTTTATAAAGTGATAAGTTGTGAGCATCATGGTTTTTAAATCTTAAGTCCCACAGTTAAAAACAGGGAAAAGAATACATCACCCATGATGCCATTATGCGATCACAAAGCACTGTTGGCTTTTTAATTTCTTTCCAGCTTTTTTCTTCTCTATCTGCTTACTTCTTGCAGAGTTGTTTTTGCACATTTTTTCTTCTTATTAATATATGTTCATTGTAGAGAAATTGAAAATGTAGTAAAACATAAAATGAATAAAATCACTTGAATTCTTAGCCCCATCAGTTTTATACTTTTGGTATTTATCATTCTAGCCTATTTTTAGTATAAATTTTTAATAAGAACAATAGGATTATAGTATAAATGGTGCTTTGTAGCATGCAGATTTTAATAAAAATCTAGCTCATGTACTTAAATGGAACTTAGTTTTTGATATTGTGATTTTCCAAAAAATACAAATTTTAGATATTCTACTGTGGTTTTCATAAAGCTAATGGCTTTTCATCCTGCTTTATCATTCTCCTTTAAAGGAATGGTAAGAACTTTAGTGGGAAGATACTTTGAGACTGTGTAAATATTCTGTTCTCCACCAAACTTCTACCTACTAGTTTTTGTGGGGGTTTTTTTGTGTGTAATCTTTTTATTGCATATAGAATTTTGAGCCTGAATTTCCCTTCTGAATCCAGAACTTATTAAAAGCAAGCATCTTTAAATGTCGTTAGGCTTTTCTCCAGGTACTAGTATTTTTACAATCATCTAACAGCATTCTTAGTACTACATGAAGTTTAATACTTTGAGATTGAACTATGGAATATGTCAGGACTTAAGTAAACTTTGTAAATATACACTGGCTGTGGATCGTACACATTAGTCAGACATGATTTCTGCCCACCTTACATGGCATTTTGCTCTCTCACATACATTTCCCCTCTCAGCTAAGTTTAAGTTCAGATTATCATAGCAATATGTATAATGGGTTTATTAAAAGTCCTAAGATTTGTGAGATACAAGTAGAAATCAACTTTATTTTTCCTTTTCAGTAGAATTTCTCCTTCCACTCGTTCCTAGAGTTGATCTTGAGTGCAATCAGTCCACAGCTTTTTTATGTGTTGTTTCCCTTATTTTGTATTTTCAAATGAGTTCCAGCCTTACCCTCTAGTTTTAATGTCTGCTGTTGATAGTTCTTGACTGAATCAATTAAATTCTAGTTTAATATAACGCTAAATGGTGGATTTCTGACTCCATCATTCTGTGTACGTTTGTTAGTTGGCATTCCACTATGGGCAGGAACTTTCCCTTTATCTATCTTTCATAGATCATTTTATTCAGTGAGTTATAATTCATTGCTGTCAGTGTTTTTTTTTTTTTTTTTTTGTGGTACAGGGGCCTCTCCCGTTGCGGAGCAGAGGCTCCGGACGCGCAGGCTCAGCGGCCATGGCTCACGGGCCCAGCCAGTCCGCGGCATGTGGGATCTTCCCGGACTGGGGCACGAACCCATGTCCCCTGCATCGGCAGGCGGACTCTCAACCACTGCGCCACCAGGGAAGCCCAACTGTCAGTGTTTTGTTCAAAATGTCTGAAATTTGGTTAATGGAAGTTTCTTCAAACTGGCTTCTCTGTCTCTTTGACATGTCCCTGTCAGTTTTTCTGGCACTTTTTTACTTTTTGGCCCAACAGGGTGTTCCAGGATAATCTTGTACTTTCTCTGCCCCAGTCTTGGAATTGGCTGTTTCTCTGAGGAGCCTTTCTTACTTATAGTTAGGAATAATATTTAGAAACCAAGATCTGGGAGCTAGAGTGTTCTCATTGCTATCAGAGTATCATTGCTTCCGGGCCTTCCAGCAACAGAGCTAGGAAAATAATTACACACATGTATGCATATAAATGTGTGTATGTGCATGTGTGTGGTGTATGGACTTGCATATTCATCATTCTGATCTCCGAATCCAATACCCCTCAGGGTTCTTCTTTGTTTTCCCCGTTCTGTATTTGTAG